CATGGTTTTAATGTCACAGCTGACTCATACACTTTCTTTCTCATGTCTACCTACCATTGGCGGTTTCCTATTTATGATGTTTGTCTTTTTTGTAATGTAGATGGATAAGGGTCTCGCTTTCGGGTTTGAGCATCTCCCTTTAGAAAACATAGGTTCCTGTCTCAACGACTTTCTTTCCCTGCTACCCGACTCTGACCTCTCTGTTTATTTCCCTTTTCCCATTCCTCTATTCTCGCACGTATTATCTGTAATTTCAATGTAAACGTGGACAGCAAGGCTCGGGGGAAAATACACCACAAGCACGATAACTACACGTCTTCAACCACGGCAGCAGCCAAACGAAGAAATACTATGCCATGATCAATTGAATGTTTGTCCTACCAATGCTTCTCACTGATGGGCACCGTGTTGACGTCCACGCCGTCGCGGAACCAGCGCTCGTCCTCGGCAATCGCCACGTCGTTGCCGCTCATCATGCGCTTCCGCATGCGCCCGTCCGCCGCAAATGTCCAGTCCTCCAGCCCATAGCACCGGTACCACTGTTTCTCGCCGCCCTTGCCCTTGCCGTCGCCCGTGCCGTCGCCCTTGCCGTCCTCGCCTTCCACAAAGTACTCGTACCAGAACTGCACGGCAATGCGGTCGTCGGTAAAGGCAAAGAGCTCCTTGCGCAGGCGGTAGCCGCTCTCGCGCGACCACTTGCCCTCGAGGAACTGGACAATCGCGGCGTGACCCTGGAAAAACGCGTCGCGGTTGCGCCAGATGCAGTCCTCGGTGTAGGCCGGGGCGACAATCGAGGGGTTCCTTTTGCCACCCAGCTTAGCAGGGACACCCCGAACACATTCGAACGCCCCTCATCAAAAGGTACTCACTTTGTATTCCAGGCATCTTGAGCGGCCTTGACCTTTTTTTCTGCCGTTTCGCGCGTAAACGGTGGAAACGGAGGCCGGGCCGGGGCCGGTGCAGCGGTTGGAGCAGACGAGGCCATCCTCCGTACGAAGTATATATTTGCTGTTGCTTTTTGTTGTTTACAGGTGAGACAGGGCGTTGTGTCTCTGTTGCTCAAGCTCTCAAATTGGCCACGTCGTGGCCCTGTTTATATACTTCTCTCATGTCAAGCACGTATCTCCCCGTTCTGAGAATCCCCTCGGTGACGTCTCTTCGGCGTCTGACGGCGAGCTACGACCGTGACTAATCCCGACCAAAGCGCAGCCCAAAGCCGCTGATGGCAAAGGCCGGTCCCACTTTTTACCAGATTAGGCAATTTACGTCGACATCGCAGACACCGCGAGGCAAAATGTAGGAGTTGATCGAATTGAACAAGAACGACGCAGGATTGTTGGCTGTATTTCTTCTCTTACTCGTCGAATACGACGCACAGTCACAATGACTCCGAGACAAGACGTGGAACCGTCAATAGCCACTGACATCATACCGACAGCACAATTTCCTCTGCTGGTTTTGTCGCGAGAATGTCACGTACCAGAAATCAGACAAGCGGCAAGGGCGCACGGGTGGACGCCAGGTTACTTCAAAAGGAACATGTAAGCGCAGACTTGGACGATGCTCGGTCTGTGCATACGTCGTATTGTTTGCGCACAGAGGGCCGAGAGGAACTCTTGTCCTTTTAATAGTCGGCCGCGACGGTCTTGACAGGGATGTTTGTTGCGGTCGGCTTTGTCAAGTGTCTTTCTTTGATTCTTCCTTATTGTTCGGTGATTGCTCTCCCTCTGCACTCTCTTGTAACAAATCGAGCGCCTCTCTACCGCGTCCGTCGCGTATCGGTTCGTTCTGCCTGTCGTTTTCATGCGGTTCGAAACCGGCTATTTCTGGCAGGAAGCTCCAAAAGACCCATACAGATTATTCGGTGGCCGCCCCGGAAGCCAGGCAAATACGATCCTGGAACCTGGATCCTGGAACCTGGCCCTCTGCGGAACTTTTCTTCAGCAGAACCACAAACGAGGGAACAACGGGAAAGGGCCTTGGACGAGACCTTGGTCCAGGTCTCGACAGTTCGGCACGAGGTAAGGGACAGTGCGCCACGTCCTTTCTGCCTTGTCTGCATCGAGAAGCTGCGTCGGTTTGTTTGGATAGTAAGAACCTTTGCATCGACAAGGTGGACTTGCTCGGGTCATCCTCAGGCAGGATACACATACGAAGTGCATTGTTCGCTCCCCGTGCCTGAGCCACATCCACGACAATGCCATTTCGACCATCTTTTTTGACGATTTTCCCTTTCAACCCCGATGGCTGCTCAGCCTGCAGAATCGGTCGGCTGAAGGATCTACTAACCTGCATCGCGTTAAGTGCAGTGGTCCGAGTGCACCTGAATCGCACGGTTCCACTCCGTGGTGCCTTGCCTGAGAGAGCTGTGCAGCGCGACGCGATTGAATACCTCTCTGCCTCTCTACTCTATATGTGTCCTCGTGTCCTACGAGAGGCACCACAGCGCCGGCTCCTTGCTGCAAAAGAAAGGGGGCCAATCTGGCCTGGAGTCTTCCAGAAAGGAGGCATGCACCTGCAGAAGAAACTGCCGGCGTATCTTCCTGCCTCTTGCAATTGTCCGGTTGCACGGGATGTTGTACGATCTGTCGCCAACCGTCTCGAAAAGGGGCCGGCTTACTAGGCAAAAGAGCCGGCGTGGTTGGATATGAGGCGCCGAAAACCAAGAGGAACTGGTCACTGCTGTTGCCCGAGACATCTAGCGACAGTCAGAAGCACCGTAGACCTTGGTCTGGACAGCAGCAAGGAGAGGCAGGAGGCAGAAACGCACGTGTCTCGAAGCATTGCTGCCGCATCCTAAACTGCTTTTTTTCAACCAGTTCAGGGCTTCTTCTCCACCCTCCTATTGAGGAAGAAGCGTTGCGTCTGCCGCACAGATGCAAGCCATGTGTGGAGCTTTCTGGTGCGAAGAAGTGCATGAAACAAAGAACAATGGAAGAATACGAGACGATAGACGAAGAAAACGACAGGATGAGAAAGGTACCGTCGTACGACGAAAGGAGAACAAGGAACGGCTCGGCGGCAAGGGGCCCTGAAGCCTCAGGGCACGCTGCAAACCACAGGAAACAAAAGAGCAGTCCACGAAAAGGCAGGCGTCGCACAGAAACACTGGGGTGCGAGGGCGAGAAAACGACAGGGCGACAGGACGACAGGGCGCCTTGTATCGTAGCCCCTGACTGAAGATGCCGCGATGGCGATGCTTTGGTGGTGGGTTGTGTGCCTGGAACGACGTCCCTGGATAAAATAAAGTGGTCAGCCCGTAGTCGCTCCTGCGTAAATTAGCATTGTGCCCACTAACGCCAGACTAGCGCTGGAGCTGAGCACGCTGAAGCTGAAGCACCCCTCTTTTCCCCCGTGGACATGTGTGCCCTTCTCGCCCTTCTTGCCCTTCTGGAATTAATTACCAGGTGCGTTTCCCCATAGCAATGCGGATCCACTCTCGTTTCAAAGGGCAGGAGCGCCGGCCGTTTTTGCTTCACACGCGCTACCCTTCCCACTTTTGCGGGTTCCTGGCAGGGCAGGGGCCACAGAAGCCACTGAGGAAGGAACCTTTGGATGCCCACGCACGACTGCCATCCACAAAGGTGTCCAAATTGGCCTAGCGCACAAATTCTGGCCAATGAGAGCTGCCAATCTCCTGCTTCCCCTATTTTCGAGATGTCCCTTTCCCCTTTTTTTGCCCGTCGTGGTGAGGGGTGAGCTTCTCGTCGCGCCAGGTCAGACCTTCCTGGCCATATTCGAACTGTTGCAAGTTCCCGAGTGAGCAAAGGCATCGGCCACGCACGTCAATGTACATACACAGTCCGATCGTTTGACAAACGTCTTGCCATCGCGGCGGCGACCAAAGAGTCTTCATTGTATCGGGAAAAGCACTCTCAATTGCAATGGAACAGAAACAGCTCCTCGTCTCAATATCAACCTCGTAGTCGTCTGCTCCCATGGCAGATGTGAACACACTCGTAGCTGCTATGCTGGCTTCCTCCCCTTTGCTCTGTCTATTCTGTACGGTCTTGCTTCTTTGGCTTATGGCTCTTGCTCTCTCCTCTTCCCGGCTGTTCGCCTGATCGCTCCCTGCCATCCCAGAAACGAAACCGACAGGCCTGCCAGTGTGCCATCTCCATTGGCTTGCACCCAAGCCTACACGATCTCATCTAGACGACGGGTAGTTCTCTGGCATTCTTGTACATTGCTCCTTCGTCCGCCCCCTATTCCAAGCGCGTCCAAGCTTGCCGCTCTGCCTCATCCGCAATAGGACCATCTGCATCTTGCCGTTCGGGGTACCACGTACACGCCTCCTTTTCCACACCCTCCAGCACTCGTTTCTGCCATTCACACTCTGTCTCGCTCCCTCTCTTGTCTTTTTGCCTCTGATCTGCCCCAGCTGCTCGTGCTCCCATGCTCCCAACTCCATCTCGTGCGCCAGCTCCACTCACGCGTCGCTCCTTACTTTCTTTGCCCTCCTCTTCCTTCCTCTCCCATTTGAACAGCGGCACTACCACAGTATTACTACCACAGTATTGTCTTCGTCTTCTCCTTCGCTCTTTCCCTCTTCGTTCCGCGCACTCTTGCCCTCCCCTCTATTCCAACGCCCCCCTTTTATTTTAGGGCCATCTACGGTGCTCTTGTGTTTTTCCCCTTTTTCCTACAATATCCACCACCTCATTTGCCTGTCTTTGGCATCGCCATCCTCGTGTCGACTTTCTCATCGTCAACTTTCTCCATCCTACGCCATTTTGGCGATTTCTGTGAAAGGCGCACCACCCTCTATACGAGAACACCGGCTCTCCCTTCGCATTCCAAGAAGGATCGACCTGTTTGTAACAAAAGGTGAGTGAATACCCACACGCGTGCATCCCGTTCAAACAGCACATCTCGACACCATCCAAAAGAACCTACGAATCCCCCGCCGGGGAACAGTGCCATTCCCTCTGCGGCAGGTCCCTTTTCCTGGTTGAGCGTCACCTGCCGCCGCATCTTGTACTCCTGTACACCCGGACACCATGGCCGACCCTGGCGCTTCCCAACAAACACGCCGGATGCATCGAGACGATGATGCGAATCGGTCGTTTGGCAGCACCAACCTTGACGGTGCTGCAACGAAGGACCGTAGCAAACGAACGGAGAACTGGGCTGCCAAAGATGATGTTTGGGGATGCCCCTCCGCAACTTTGACACTTAGCTTGCCCAGTCAGCTTCCGTCGTCGTCGTCTGTCTCAGACACGGCCGCGATCCCTTGCGTCGTTGCCACTCGGTCTCCTCCCACTACCGCTGCGATGCCATTCACTTCTTTTGTCGACCTTTTGTTTTGCCCTTATCGCATCAGCCGGATTCTCTAAAGCTTCTACTAGGGCCCCTTTACAGAATGCGACCAGTTTGGAGAAGGTTACATTGTCACTGACGCGGTATTGCATTTTAGGGTCCCCCCTTTCCTCTGCTTCTGGCGACAAAGCTATCAACAAAATTAAGCACGGCAGTCTCACATACCAAACGTGCTCGGTGCATCCCCCATCCACGCACGAGACGATCATCCTAGACGGCGAACCGCGACTACCAGCTCCCACCGCTGAAAAGAAAGGATCGCCACTCTCGTTCGAATAAAAAGCAGGAGGACTCCGACGTCTAAATATCGTGAAAGAGAGTTTTCTAGAACACCTTGTCATTCCACTCTTACGCCGTCTTACTGTGTGCTTTGACACTTGTCTGCGACCCTCAGACTTCCGCTGTCCACCTGGAGGATCTACCACATTTTCCAGGCATATCCGTCAATCACTTAAACAGCCATTAAAGCCGGTTTTGGAAGTGCTTCCTCGACCAATTTCTGGGCACGGAGCCAATACTCGCGGTACTTTTTTGATCGCTCGTCCCAGCAGACAAACATTTGGGCCCCTGACTTTGGCAATTACTTTGTCATTGCGACCAACGCCCATTTCATCAGGTACCAATAGCTGCCCATTACCAACTGCGCCTCCTATACTAGCGCTTCCCGCCTGCCAACATCATCTAGATCCAACACGCAACTGTGCCAAATAAAGACACGGGACAACTGACGCCAGTGTCAAGATATAACCTGTGTCCTTGATCTTTACGGCAAGGTAGCCCTCCGCCCTTGGCTGAAGGGAAATTGTTTCTTCTATTGCTCCTCGTTCCGTACCTCGTTCGACGTGAACAATCCACCTCAAAAGCGCTTCGCACTTTTGTCGTGGATCCGGATCCCCTTTTCCCGTTTACCAGCACCAGAGAATGAGCTCGCCCACTGCCCGACGTTCAAGTTTCGGAATGTTGCTACGGCGAAGCAAATCTGGCGAGCTGAAGGGCAAGAAGGCCCAGGCTCTGCGTGAACAAGAGCTCCAGCGTCAGCGCGAGGCTGCGATCCCCAAGTCCCCGCCCCGTCTTCCCGTCCTTTATAATGGCGCCCCCGCTCCCAACCTAGGCAGCTCCTTTGGCGAGCCCGCTCATGATGCGGCCCCCACCGACTACTACAACAGCAACTACACACCGCGTCCCTCCATGGAGCCCAGCCGCTCCGTGGCCAACGTACCCATCATGCCACCCGTTCCCTCGGGCGCCTGGGTTGATCCCTATGCCCGCACCGAGAGCATGACCCACCGTGGCCGCTACAGCTATGCTAGCAGCGCCATTAGCACGATCAACAGCCCCCGCCGCGTTCGCCGGAGGAAGGACCCGACGCCATTCAAGTAAGTGGTGACTCTCCCGCCCATGGTGCTCGTGGGTAACAGGCAAATACAAGTACTGACCAAGCGTTTTTACAGCATCCTAATTATGGGTACTCGGGGTTCTGGCAAGACGTCCTTCCTGGAATTCCTCAAGACCTCACTAGCCCTGCCTGCGAAGAGGCGCGTAAAGACCTTTGACGCCGACGAGTTTGTGCCCGCCGCACCGCCGTCGGGCAACTTCGTGCCCCACTTCCTGGAGACGGAGATTGATGGCGAGCGCATTGGCATGACCCTGTGGGACTCGGAAGGCCTGGAGAAGAATGTTGTCGACCTGCAGCTTCGCGAAATGTCTGCCTTCCTCGAGAGCAAGTTTGAGGACACCTTCAACGAGGAGATGAAGGTTGTTCGCTCCCCCGGCGTCCAGGACACGCACATCCACGCCGTCTTCCTGGTTCTCGACCCCGCTCGCCTGGACCGGAACATTGCCGCATCCAAGAACGAGCAGAACGTGAACGGCAACGGCAACGGCGTGGACCGGAATGGCGGCCCTGTGAAGTACGTCCCGCAAGCACGTGTGCTGGGTGCGCTGGATGAGGACCTCGACTTGCAGGTGCTGCGTACGCTGCAGGGCAAGACCACGGTGATCCCGGTCATTTCAAAGGCCGACACGATCACGACAAAGCACATGAGCGTGCTGAAGAAGTCGGTCGCGGACAGCCTCAAGCGGTCGAACCTGGACCCTCTGGAGTCGCTCGGCCTGGACGACCTTGACGATGGCGCAAGCACGATCGATTCCAACCGTATCGACGAGGAGAGCGACGAGGAGGCGGCTGCCGCCGAGGCTGGTGGTGTCCACACCCCCGTCGACAACGGCGACATGGACGTCGCTGCGTTCTCGGACGGCGAGACCGGCCTGCCGATCCAGGGCCAAGTTCGTGCGTCCTACACACCACCCTCGCAGACGCCCAAGTCATCCAAGCGGCTGTCGTCGACGCCTGGCCGTCGCAACCGTGAGCGCGACACAGAGCACCTGGACACCAAGGAGGACGACGAGCCACCCTTCATCCCAATGTCGATCATCAGCCCGGATATCTATGAGCCCGGTGTGGTTGGCCGGCAATTCCCCTGGGGCTTCGCCGATCCGAACAACGCAGACCACTGCGACTTTTTGCGCCTCAAGGACGCCGTCTTCACGGAGTGGCGTGGCGAGCTGCGCGAAGCCAGCCGCGAGCAATGGTACGAGGGCTGGCGGACCAGCCGCCTCAAGCAGGGCGGCCGCAGCACTCGGACGTCCCTGCGCCGATAATGCGGCAGGCGACGACTGGATGTCGTAGCCTGAGCTGATGCTGACGAAAGAAACACAACCCCGGCTGCCGGCGAGTTTGGTTGTTTAGGATGACGTTCTACTCTCATCATACCAGCGCGGGACGCGCATTGTCTTGTGCCTGACCTTCACTCGCTCTTATTTCTTTGTGTCTTATTTCTTTTCTTACTCTCAAAGACGCGTATGAGGGAGCGGATTCAGACTCACTCGAAAAGGGGGGTCTCTTGTCCTTTCTGGACGGGTCTCTCCACCATCTTGTTTCTTTTCATGCCTGTGCTGTGCGCACACGACTTCTCTACACACGAGCCTTTGATTCCCCCCGCTGCTCTGTATTTACTTTCGTCTTTGTACTCGAATCTTTGCTATACAATTTCTTTTGTCGTCGCGTTCCGTTCCGTTCTTTTTCTCTTTGTTCCTGTTCTTTGCTCCGTCTTGTACTTGGTTTCGTTGGGTTGGAAACGCTGGTCCGATGGTCATTTGGTCGTGGACCGGCCATGTTCTCACACTAGTTGCGTCTTTTTCTTTTTCTTTTTCTTTTTTTTACTATTTCCCTCTTTGATACCTTCAGCGCGACTAGGAAACAATTGCGGTTTCCTATTTACCCTTCAAAACTAACCAGAGTGCTTCTGTAAACCGAAGTTTCGGGACGAAAAATGTTATACACAAGCGAAAAAAAAAAAGAAAAAAAAGAGAGAAAGAAGAGTTACAGTTTTTGCAATTTATTATGACCTATCCACTTTACACGGACTTGACGTTGACTTTTGAAAAAAGACTCTTAAGACTACGAGCTTGCTGAGTGTCGAGTGTCGAGTGCCTGTTTTGTCCTTGCCGTTTTGACTTTATGTGAGGCTTTAAAATGTAATATCGTTTCATTTCTATACTTCTTTATGCTCGACCTTGTCTGTGTAGCCTTTGCCGGGTGCATAGCCATAGGTATCTTTATTAGTTTTGTAATATATGAATGCTTATATACTTTTATGTACGCTGTGTTCAGGTTGGCAGTGCTTGTAGATGCCCTGTACATGATGACCCAAGGTCGTTGCTGTCTGTTATGTGCTGATGTCTTTTTTTTTCTTCTTTCTCGTCCGCTTCAACGCCGCCATTTCTCTCGTATCCATTCCGTGTCACTCGTCGGCAAGAGGGCCCGCGCGTTGCTGCTCCTCCCGCAGGCGCTCGGTCATGCGCATCTCCAGGCCGCCCTCGAAACTGCCGCGGCGGCCCCAGTTGCGCGGCTGGCGCTTGAGGAAGGCGCCGACGGCGCCGAGATAGCCCTCGTGGCGCAGAAAGTAGGCCTGCTTGGTGCCCTTGCTCCAAAACTTGATGGCGTAGCTCAGGGTGTTCATGGTCTGGGGGTGGCCCTGGATGAAGGAGCCGCCAAAGTAGATGCGGTCGAGGGTGTGGATCTGGGACTGCAGGTAGGCGATCTGGCCAATGTTGTTGGAGATGGCGTAGAGGAGGGAGCGGCTGATGTCGGCGGCCGAGAAGTGGGTGTTGTAGGCGGCGCCGCGGTACATGTTGTCGGGGCCGTCGGGGTTGTCGGCAGTGGTGCTGTTGTTGGTAGCCGTTTTCTCACTGTCGTCCTTTGTCGTCGGCGACGACACGCCGTCTTCGGCCTCGGTCTCGGCGAGGTGCTTCATGCGAAACACCTTGCCAAAGGAGCTGGCAATGGCGGTCGACTTGAGACCGATCTTGCCGTAGTCGGTGCCGTATATGTCGCCGACCAGCATGTCGACGCGCGAGTTGTCGCCGCGCGAGGCCAGCTCGAGCATCTCGTCAAAGGAGCGGGCGCCCGTCAGCAGGGACAGCAGGCCCCACAGGGTGCCGCCGCCGAGCGAGGTACCGCCGACGCGCACGTACTTGTGGGGGCCCGAGACCTTGAGCATGGAGACGCCGGAGCCAATGTTGACGAGCATGTAGGGGTAGATGTCGTCGCTGGGCGCGGCAAAGTGCATGGGATCGGTCTCGGAGTAGGTGAAGACCTCGCGGGGGATCTCGGTAATAAAAAAGTCGAGGCCTGCATTGGTCCGTTAGCGGACGCTGGGGTAGAAAGGAGGAGAGAACAAGGGGGGACGGGGGGGAACGGGGGCAGACGCACCCATAATCAGACACTCCATCTCGTCTTCGCTCAAAACGTCAATGCCCATGCGCGCGCGGATGCGGTCGTAGTACTTGTAGGCGCCGCCGCCGGTCGCCATGACGCACAGCTCGCTGGAGCGGGCGCCGTTTTCGGAGTCCATGTGGCGCTGCTTGAGATCGAGCAAAAAGTCAATGCAGTCGTCAATCTTGTCCGTCTCAAAGGACGTAAAGTTGAGGCGGCCGCCGGGCTCGGTCGACTGGGCTTCGCGCGAAAAGAAGACCACCTTGGCCAGGGTGCCGCCAATGTCGACGGCAATGTGGGAGACGACGGCGTGGTGGTTGGGCAGGCGGATGTCGAACGTCGGGTGGTGTTCGGAGGGCGAGTGCGCACGGCCGGGGGCGGAGGCCGGGCCGTGGACGGAGTCGCTGCTCGAGCCCGACGCCGTCCGTTGTGACCGCTGGTCGGCGCCGCGGACGGACCCCGTCGGCGACCGGCTTCCGTTGGCGCTGCCATTGCCGTTCGCCGGCTCCTCGTCGACAATAAAGGCACCCTTGACATTGATGCGCACGGGACCGGGCCGCGCAATGGTGCTGTCGATCTCGGCGGTGGATGTGGACGTGCGCGGCCGTAGCGGGACGGCCTCGTCGGTGTGTGTCGCTGTGCTTGGCGGGGGTGCTGGAGCGGATGTGGTGTGTGGTGCCTGCTGTGGCCGGGGCGTCGACAGCGGAGACGGGGATGGCGTCTGAAGCTGCCGTGCCAGGGACACGCCGCCGTCGTCGCCGTCTTCGTCGGCGGGACTTTTCCGGGCATGGGCGGCCGGGTCAGCTTGCAGCTCGGCCGCGGCGGCCGCCAGATCGAAAGCCCGGTCGGCCATTGTGTGCGGCAAGGGACGGACGGGGGGCAAGATGGGAGGGAACGGAGAGGAGTCGGAGAGGAAAACCGTCGTCGGACTGTCGTCGGTCAGCGGTCGGAGGTTGTGGTCGATCGCCGGGGGCCCAGTGCTCTCTGCAGTGCTCTCTGCAGTGCTGTCCGGCTGGAGCGGACTCAGCGGTGTTGATGGTTGCCAAGAGGGTGCGACGCTCGTCTGTTGTCGCGTTCAACCCAAAATTGCTTGCAGAAGACCAAAAGACCAACCCAAAATAATTGTCCAGACCCGTTGCTAGCCAACGTACGAAATGGTAAGTCGCTCGTGCCTTCCTCGCCTGATCGATTCTGTTCTTTCTGCCTTTGTTCTGGCTGTTGGTCGCGTGTGCACTAGCTTGCGCCGCCGGCAGCCGGGGAAGGAAGCAGCGATTGAGCAACTGGGCGATTTGGGGGCAGCGATTCGGCCTCGGCGGACAGCGGCTGGACGGAGCGTGAATGGCGGATGGCGCTGTCTTGTTCAATTGTCGTGTGCCTTTTGTCTTTCTTGTCTCTATCGGCTGTCTTTTCTCTGCTGCATCTACGTGGAGTGAGATCGATTGCCCGTTCGCCCGAGTCTGTTGAGTTGTTGGGGCCAACGTCTTCCTTTTCTTATTTCCTGGTCCTCCATATCCTTCGCTTTTCCCCTCGGTTTCTCCTATTTTCTGTGGCCATTTCTGTGGTTTTTTCTTGTCGTACTCACAAGTACAGTGTAGTTGTCCTCATGGTCGATTTTGGTCAGTTTTTGGCCAGTTTGGGCAAGTTTTGGCCCTCTTTTTGGAGGCGGCGCTTTGTTGGCTTATGTTGGCTCTCTTTCCGGTCGCGGTGGACCGTCGTATAATCAACCAAGTTAGACGCCGTTTCCCTCGTAGTCGACAGAATCACCCCGTAATAGGGGGAGAGGGTTAGCGATGCTCACCAAAGACTTTAAGCCGAGCTAGTGCCACTCCCCAGGATTTCCCCTCGTACGACGGCCTGTTGGTTTGCGCACTTTTGCCTCTTGCGGCCGTTTCTACGTGGTTCAAGTGTGGCAACGTTCTGAAGCGCTCCAGTGGACTCCAGCGCAATCCACAGCAGTGACTCGCCTTGTCTGCCACGCTTGCGCTTTTTGAGGGCCTTGCCCTTCCCTGACAGCCGTACGTCGAACCACCGCTCGTGGATGTTGACCGTTGTTCGCTTCCTCGGTCATGATTCGACCTCTGCCGAGCTCACGATACAATGCGCCAACGGCGATGCACGACAACTATCATCATTAATCATGACCCAGAAGCCGCTCGGCAGACACCCGTACCTCGTACGTGCCGCTTGCGACAACGTTGCACAGGTAATGCATGATGATTACTGCGTTCTTGACCGCGCGACGGCGGTTGGCGTGTGACAGAAGATGATATTGATGTGGTTTCATGGTCGTTCCACACAATGGTAACTTTTACAGATTATGCGTATCCAAGAAAACGACGTACGCGTGCATTATTTCTAATTGTTTTTCTTTCCTATAATTTTTTATTTCTTTTGTATTCATTGTGATTAAAGAATGACGTAAAATCTTGAAAGTAAAATAATTTTTAAAAAAAAAATGAGCAAGAACAAGAACGGAGACAGACAAAAGAAGGTACGAAAAAAATAAAAATGAAAAATGAAAAAATATAAAGAGCTTTTAATTTTCAATCGTTTAATCATAATCTTTCTTATTTTTATTTTTTTTTAGAAAAAAAAAATAGATATAGAAAAAGATGCAAAACAAAACAGGATGGTTTTTGTCATCGTCGTTACCATTGTACATTATCTGGCTCTCTTATTCTGTTACTTTTCTGCATCCTCCTGTTATATCTTATCTAGCTCTCTTTTTCGTCAACTCCCCAAGCTGTCAAGAGCAGCATCATGAGCACCACAATCTACTTGTGAACTTCTAGAGATTGATTTGTGTTGGTGACCGAGCGACACACAAGAGCTTTCGTTTCCGAGTCGCCTCACTTGCGTGTGCGTTCTTGTACACTTTGTGTGTTTTCCAACGCGGAAACCTTGATATTAAGTTTCGCCTTCTCCAGCCGCCTACCCGATGCTGAGGTGGTTGGCTGCGAGAAAAAGGTACGTTTTGTTCACCAGTTCTGCTGGGGCAGCCGGCATCACGTTCTGCTGTACGACGCACGGCATCACGTTCCTCTCCACCCTATTCAATACAATGCCGTACGAGCTGCCGGACTGGGTCAATTGGCAAGGCACACTTTGAGCCGATCTGCGCGTGTGAAGCCTGGCACGTTGTCTCGATCCAAATGAATCCCGCCAGGCTGGAGGCGCGGCGAGCGGCGAGACGGGACGGCTACGATCAGACGGGGGAAAGATGGCAAAGAAGGCAAAGAAGGCAAATCAGGACAGGTAAGGACAGGCCAGGACATGGATGGCCAGTGCAGTCGATGCAGTGGGCTGAAATGCAATGCACGTCAGCGTGGACGGCGTGAGATGCTAAGATGCATTACTCTGTAGAAAAGAGAAAAAGGCCCTTTTGATCGTGGCGCCTGCGCGCTTGCACGTGCGATGCTCGCCTTTCCTCGATCGTCAGTCGGCTACGTGACAACTGGCTCTGCAATTTTGCGTTTTGCGGCTCTGGGATCCTGCGCAGGTTCGAGCCTTCGCGCTTGCTCGTCGGCAAGCGGCAAGTCGTTTCTATTTTTGCATTCGGTTCTTTGTTAGTATCGTGCATGTTGGATGTTGCATCGTGCATTTCTCCTCCTCTTGTCTGGGGCAGTGGCAGTTGCTCGCATTGGACAATACAGTGACACGGGTCGTTGAAAGTGCTCGTCTATTCGGTTGGTCAGCCCTGAAGAGATGCCCCACTAGACTATATGAATTTACGCCTATGGTACCATGGAGATGCGGCTCAGCGCTGGGCTCCACCCTATACGCTTGGCCTGACAGGCGGTCGGCGCCGGCAAAATATAGTGGACAGAGTTGACAGCAGTGGAAATACATGCTCGCGCGCTGTCTCCTCCATGCTCAACGCACATGTTAGCGTGCATGCAAACTGCTATTCCAAGCATGCACAGCCTCCCTCGATCCTCTTCCGGGACGGCTACAGGGCGTCAGCCACGATGGCCTGCAGGTTAAGGTTACAGGGTCACGGTTGCAGGGTCTGAAGTCGCATTTGACCGTTTGACGGATGGACGGTTGGCGTCTTGAGTGTGTTTCTGGCGTTTGTTTCCTTTTGTTTCGCCATTGCAGCCGCAACCTCATGGGCTTCACCTGGACTCTGTCGTTTGTCTGGTTCGTCTTCGAGTCCGAGACATTTGCCTGTCGACTCGGTGCGAATGATGGACCCGACATACATCGAGTCCAACTTTGAGCTTGTTACGCCTTCTTCCACAGCATGCCCGGTTTCTTCACCTCCCTCCTGTTCCAACTTGGACGTCGCACTCGATACGGGCAATACGATGTGTGGATGATGCATGTTGAGACAGTGATTACCATTCCCGAAGTGCACTGCGAGGACGGAGTACGGCCTAATTCTGACAGTCATTATGTGTACGAAGTACGACATACTTTCTCTACCAACAGCGTGTGACCCCGGCCAAGATATCCCCAGCCAAGAAATGGACCCGTCCAAACCCCTTCATCTCAAATCCAAGGTGCATGTAATTACCAAATTCTCGTCCAGCGACTCTGTCGATCTCTGCTCAGCCTAGAAGAAACGACGCCGCTGCAGACCACCCAACGGCTTAGCACAGCACGCCAGAATTGCAGCACGCCAGCACACGGCAAGACGGCTGGCGTTGTCGAAGACCCACACTCTAATTTCACCAGCACTCCCCACCAGACATCCACCCATGTCTGACAGGGCTATGGCTGGGTGAATGGGACGAGGGAAAGGGTCGCTTCGTTCTCCAGCTGACGGACTGTTGGACGGGTTAGCGCCTGCCGTAGGGCTCGTTTCCGAGCTCGAGAAGCTCCCGGTTCGACATAGCACCCGTTGCAAGCTCCTTTCCGCCTGTGTTCCCTCCTTCCCAGCCTCCTTCCTATTTCTGCCCATCGTTTGGAGATGCCCAGGTGCGTTCTTGCGGCTCCATTCACTCTCTGGTGCTGACCTCTTGTCTATTTGCGGGGCCTCACCCACCCCCCCTGGCAGGATACACAGAATACAGGAGACAGGCTTCCAGGGCACCTTCCCTGTCTTTCTGGCTCTGTCCTGTCCCCTGATTTGTTGTGACGTTCGCTGCTTTCGTCGACCTGCTGAGCCTCTCCCCCCAACCACTCTCCATCACGTTCGAGCAACGGTACCCTCTTTTTGTTTTGTGTTGTTTCTGGCAGGCAACGCACACGCCCAGCTTCGTCTGGGCTGGCCGTGCTTGGGGACTCCTGCATCCTTCGTCTGTATTTCCCGAATACCAACGTGTCGTCAGCTCGAACGAGCTGAAGTGAGCGAGAAACATAGAGGAAAAAAATAGGGGGCAAAAGACGGAAAGAAACAAAACAAGCCAGGGCCTCGAGCTTTGTTTCCTTCGTCTCACACCATCACGAACCAAGCATCCTTTTGTCTCTTTCTTTTCCTTCTTCCTTTTGTTCCCTTCTCTCCCCCTCCCGTGCAAGTGTCAACAGAAGAGATTGTGGTCGCACCAAGCAGGCGAGAATCAAACAGCCTGTTGTCAGTGGTCGTTTTCCCCTTTCCCATTTGCTCCCCATTTGCTCCCCATTTGTACCTGGCTCCTCTTTTCTCGCGACCGACTGACATTCAGCCCCAAAAGCAAGACAATCAAGACTCGCAAGACAAGCAGGCAAGCAGCCAAGCCACCCGAGGCTTTCCCCTCCTTCTTTTGTCCCTGTCGCAATTCTGCGATTCTCTCGTTCTCTGTCCATCTGCTCCTACTCTTTTATCTCGTTTATCTCGTTTCCCTCAACTTTCTTTTCCTTCTCTTTTTTCGTTCTTGCCTTTTCTTTTTCACTCTCTTTTTCCCCTCTCCTTTTTTTGCACGCGCGTTGCTCTCGTTAATTCGCGCCTCATCGACGGCGGCGCATCTCTTTTTCGCCCACTTTCAATATACTAAGAGCTCGCGCTGTCCTGTTGACGGTCGCCTTGTTTGGCTCGACTCTCCACCTCGACGCGCCTCCACCATGTTCTCTCGACCGCGCCAGCAAAGCATAGTCGGCGGCGCCGGTGCTCCGGCCGGCGGTGCAGCAGCAGCAGCAGCTGCTGCTGCTGCTACTGCTCCTGGTCCTGGTCCTGGCCCTGGCCAAGGGCCCAGTACTCCCGTCGCGCAGCAGAACAATGGCCAACAGCCGCAGCAGCCGCAGTTCTATGGCCAAGTCTTCCAGCAACTGCAACCACCCCAGCAGCAGCAGCAGTACACCCGCCTGCCCGACGGCACCTTTGTTCCGGTCCAGAACAACATCATCTACCAGCAGCAGCCGGTCCAGGGGCCCAACGGCCAACAGTTTCAATATGTGCCCATGTCGCAGCAGCAGTTTCAACAGTTTCAACAGCAGCAGCTGCAGCAGCAGCAGCTGCTGCAACAGCAACAGCAGCCTCAATTCCAGCAGCCGTTCCAGCAACCACAGCAGGGACAGCAGGGACTACAAGGACAACAAGGACATCAAGGACAACCGCTGCCGCCCCTGCCATTGGAACGGCAGTCGTCCTTTACCGGCCTGCCGCCCGTCCGCCGCACGTCGACGCTGGACTTTGACTTGGCCTCGCTGATTGGCACCGACGACAAGGGCAAGTCGACAGACGAGCCGGCGTCGACGGATGGTCAGCAGCAGGTTCCTCAGCAGGCTCAGCAGGCTCTTCAGCAGGCGCCTCAACAGGTGCAGCTGCAACAGCCGCAGGGCCAGCAAGGTGAGAGGCGATCTCGGCATGATATGACCCCCGACACTTGGCCATTGCTAACAGTTGTCTCTTTTTCATAGGCTTCTTCCCCACGCAGCCGCAGCAGCAACCCCAGCAGCTCCAACAACAACAACAACAACAACAACCTCGGCGCTTTGGCACCCCTCTGAACTTTATCCAGCAGCAGCCCGGGCAGGCTGGGCAACCCGTCCATCCTGGTCCTGGCCCTGCGCAGCAACAGCGCACAGCTTCGTGGGGTTTCCCACAGCAGGTGCAACAGCCGCAACAACCGCAACAGCAGGTCCAGCAGCAGCAGCCACAGGGCGGCGTGCAAAACCTCCAGAGCCACCCGCCGGCGGCACAGCAGTCCTTCCAGCCTCAGCAGCAACCTGTCCAGCAGCAGCCTGTCCAGCAGCAGCCTGTCCAGCAGCAGCCTGTCCAGCAGGGCTTCGCAGTGCAGACAAATGCGTCCACCGCCCCCGCATACAACCAACTGCCATCGCAGCAGGCGCAGCAACAGCAACAACAACAGCCCCCGGCCCAGGGCCAAAAGAGCAGCAACCCGCTCCAGCGCTTCCTCCCCAAGGCCGGCAACTGGAACCTCCAAGAGTCCCACCTCCAGGAACCCTTGGCGTCCACGCGCCACCGCTCGTCGCCCACGGCGGACTCCACGCCGGACGGCCAGTCGTACTCGTTTGACAAGGAGACGGGGCTCAACTCGGCCGAGGCGCAGCTGACGCGCCAGGGCACGATGGGCACAATGGGCACGATGGGGACCGATACGTGGGGTGCCTCGTCGTCGGGATCCGCCCTTCAGGCGCCGCCACCGGTTCTGGCGCAGGTGCAAGCCCAGGCCCAGCAGGCCCCTCCGCAGCAGCAGGCGCAGCAGCCTCAACAGCAGGCGCAACAGCCTCAACAACCTCAACAGCAACCGCTGTCCCCAGACCAGCAACAGGCACAGCAGCAGTTCCAGCAGCAGCCACCTGTGCAGTCGCCTGTCGCGCCCGTCGGCCCAGTCTGGACGCAGGGTCAGGGTCAGGGTCAGGGTCAGGTGCAGGGGCAGGGCCAGCAGCAAAACAACGCCGTCCAGGCCCGCCCACAACCGGCCGGTGCAGCAGCAGCAGCGGCCGACGACAAGGGCCGCCGCTTCTCCAAGATTTCGACGTGGCGCATGTCCTCGACGCCACCCTCGTCGTCGCACTCCAACAAGAACGCGCAAGGTCAGCCGCAACAGGCACAAGAGCAGGCGCCAGTGCCGCCGGGCAGCAGTGCCGGCGCCCTTCCCCCATCGCAGTCGCAGCCGCAGCTGCTGCAGCAGCAGCAGCCGGTGCCTCAGCAAGTGCCCCAGCAAGGTCGGCCAGTACAACAAGGACAGCCGGGACAGCCGGGACAGCCGCAGTTCCAGCCTCAACAGCTCCAGCAGCCTCGGCCTGGCCAGTTGCAGTTCAACCCGCAATTCATGAACCAGATCCAGGGCCAGAACCAGGGCCAGATCCAGGGCCAGAACCAGGCCTACCAGAATGTGCCCCTGCAGCAGCGCCAGCAGCTGTTGCAACAACAGCGCTTCCCGCAGCAGCAATTCCAGAATGTTCAGCAGGGACAGGGACAGGTTCAGGGACAAGGCCAGCGGATCCCGCAGCAGCAGTTCCAGCAGCAGTTCCAGCAGCAGTTCCAGCAACAGCAGCAGCCGCCTCAACAACAGACACAGCCACAGGCGCAACCCCAGCAGCAGCAGCAGCAACAGCAACACACGGGCAAGAAGATCCGTAACCTGCTGCCGTTTGGCAAGGGCAGCAAGGGCCAGCAGCAGCAGCCGCAACAACAGCCGCAGCCGTTCCAAGGTCAAGGCCGTCCGCTGTCGACCATTTACCAGTACCAGCAGTCCGGCCAGCCGGGCCAGCCGGGCCAGCCTGGGCAGCCTGGGCAACCCCCGTTCCAGCAGCTGCAACAGCAGCAGCAGCCTCAGCAAAGCTTCCAGCCTCAGGTCCAACAAGGTCCTCCGGGAGCCCAGGGCCAAATGCCCCAAGGACAACCAGGACAACCGGGCCAAGGCCAACCGGGCCCGGCCAGCTCCATTGCCTCGTACCAAGTCTCGCCCCAGAGCCGCCATGGCACGCCGCAGAACTTCCCCACGGCCCAGCAAGGCTTCCAACAGCCGCCGCCGCAGCAGCAGCAGGCACAGGCCCCTACGCCGTCGCAGACGCCCGTCCCGTCCAGCTCCATTGTGGCGACCCCGGCGTCGTCGCCGCCGCCGTCGCAGCAGCAGGCCGGCAGCATCACGCAGAGCCCAGTTCAGCAGCGTGTTGTCAGCCCCGTCCCGTCGGCGCAAAGTCCGGTTCCTGTATCGGCCACGACCGCAGCCCCGGCTTCCGGGCCCGTCGCCGATACCGTCTCCGCTCCGGCCCATGCTCCGGCTCCGGTTCCGGCCCCGGCCGCGACCGATGGACAAAACCCGGCCCCGGAGCAGGGCCCACGTGCGTCCGTGTCATCGCCTGTGCCCAGCACGACCACGACCACAACCTCGCCGCTGCAGCAGACGGCAACTCAGTCGCCGGCGCACTCTGTCGCCCCGGCCACAACGACGAGCCCCGTGCAACCGCAACAGCAGACGTCTCCGTCGGTGGGCCCGCAGGATGCTGTGGCCCAAAAGACACAGACACAGTCACAGGGACCGGCACAGGGAGTGGCACAGGGAGTGGCACAGCCTGGTCCCGGCCCAGTCGCTACATCTGCGCCGAATGGCCAGGTGATCCCGCCCAACGGCTTCCAGCCGCCGAGACCCGTGCAGTCCTTTGGCCCGCCGGGTGCACCGCACGGCACTTTCCCCCCACAGCAGCAGCAGCAGTTCCGCCCGGGACAGTACCAGGGCCCGCCGCAGCAATTCCAGCAACAATTCCAGCCGAACCGGTTCCAGCCTGTCCAGAACCAGGGCCAGGGTCAGGGCCAGTTCCAGGGCCAGTTCCAACCGCAGCAATTCCAGCAGGGCCAGTTCCAACAAGGCCAGTTCCCACAGCAGCCTCAACAGCCTCAGCAGCAGCCCAACTTCCCGCCTCCACAGCAACAGCAGCAACAGCAGCAACAGCAGGGCCCGCCGCTGACCAAGTACGCGACGCAGGGCTCGTCCCCGACTCCGGACAACTTCTTCAGCCGCACCAACACCTTTGGCAGCATTGTGCCCAACGAAAGCAACGCCAACCGCCGCACGTCCGGTCTGCTGTCGGGCTTCATGGGCAAAGTGCGTGGCAACAAGGACAAGAAGGACAAGGAGGACAAGGAGAACAGGCCGGGCACGTCCGCCGGCTCGGTGCCGGTGCAGCAGCAGCAGCAATACCCACAAGGCAGCGTTGGAAGCCGTGTCGGCGGTATCGGCGGTGTCGGCGGTGGCCTCTCGCATGCCTCGACGTTTAGCACGCTGCCAGGCAGCCCGCACGGCACGCCGTCGCCCCTGCAGCAGCAGCCGCCCTTCCAGCAGCCGTCGCGGCCGTCGTTGAGTGGCCCGTCGACGCCCGTCGGCGGCGCTGCGAACGGTCCCTTTGGCCGCCCTCGCGCCGCATCCAACGCACCGTCGCTCGGAGCCAAGCCGTCGCAGCCGCAGCCACAGCCGCAGCCGCAGCCGCAACAGCTCCAGTCGCCGCAGGCAACGCAGGCTCCCAACAACGGTCCCCAGCAGCAGCCATCGTCTGGACCGTCCGGCACTCCCAGCGCCGACCCAGCTTCCTCGCCGTCGCCGCTCTCCGTCAACACGAACCGTCTGCCTGCAGCAGGCCCCGGCGATCCCAACCAGACGCAGAGCCCAGCCACGGCCGGACCCGTGTCCTCCGGCGCGACAGGCACCGGTCCTGCATCGGCGTCGACTGTGCGCAGCAACGTCGCATCGCCCGTCTCCGGTGGCAGCAACAATGTCGCCGCGCCGTTGACCCGCGAGACCAGCGCACAGTCGCCCTACTCCGGTCCTTCCGGTCCGGCTGGTGCCTCTGGTGTGCCTACCGGCCGCGCCAGCATCGACGCTGGCTCATCCGGCTTTGCCGGCCCTGTCCCGACGGCCCGCGGCCGCCTCCCGTCCACCTCGGTACCAAACGCGCCCAGCCCGCTGTCGCGCAAGCCTGTCAATGCAGCGCCGTCTCCCCTGCAGCAAGCATCCCAGCCTCCAGCCCCTCCCGCAGGTGATGCCACGGCGCAAGATGGCGCTGCGACGCCCACGCAGGCGGCGCTCCGTCGCCCGCCGGGTCTTGGCGAGCGTCCTGTGTCGACTGTCTCTGTGCTCACGATCAATGGCGGCCAGTCTGGCACCTCGGCCCATGCTGGTGGCAAGCCTCTGACCGACATTGCGCCCGCTTCGACCACGCGCAGCGGCTCGCCCACGGTCTCTATGGTGAGCATGCAGCCTCCCGTCAGCTCGTCCGGCGCCACCGTCGCGCCCTCGCCGCCGCCGACTGGGACCGGCGGTCCGTTCCAGCGTCCTGGCGAAGATGGGCAGCAGCTGACGCCGGCCCAGACCAACAATGGCCAGCAGACCGTCTCCTTTGCGGCCAGCCACGAACAGATCCCGGCCGCCAACCAGTCGAGTGCGTCTGGCCAGGTCTCCCGCACCGAAAAGGAAATGGAACGCGCCAAGAAGTTCTTTGGCCGGTTCCGCCGAGGTGTCGGTGGTGTCGTGGGCGGCGTGGCCGGCGTGGCGGGCGGCAAGAACAGCGGAGCCAACGGGGCCAACGGGGCCAGTGGCAACGGCCATGCCAACCACAGCCATGACAACGACAACACCGCCAACGATCCCAACGGCCCGCCGCCCGGTGGCCCGCAGTACCCGCCCGGCCACGCGCCGCCGGGCGGTCCTGTGCGCCCGAGCATGCAGCTGGAGCGGCCCGGGTCGAACCAGTTCGTGCCGCAGGTGCAGGGCCAGTCGTCGCCGTCGGTTCAAGTTGCGGGCCCCGTGTCCAACGGCACGGCCACGGCTCCGGCGGCCATTCCCCCCCAGCAGACAGGTCAGCCGACAGGTCAGCAGCAGACGGGCGGCGTCCTGCCAGGCCCCCACCGCATGTACCAGGACCAGCGGCTCGCCCAGTTCCTCGGCCCCGTCCAGCCCAACAGCGTGCCGCCGGTGGACTCGCCCGCCGGTGCCCGCAAGCAGGCCCTGCAGCAGCAGATCTCGCCCACCGAAGTGCGCCAGCAGCAGAACCTCCCTCCCCTGCCGCAGGTTCCGCAAAGTGCCGTGGCACCAAACCAGCTGCCTCAACAACAGCAGCAGGAGCAGCAGCAGCAGCAACTGCAGGGTCCCCAAGGCCAGCCTCCGTCCCAGCAGAAGCCGCATCAGCACAGCACGTTTGGCTCGCTGTTCCGGCCCAAGGTGCTTCAGCAGCAGCAGCAACCCCAGCGGCAGCCCCAACAGCAGGCTCAGCAGCAGGCTCAGCAGCAGGCTCAGCAGCAGCGCCCTCCTCAGCAACCGCAGCAGCAGCAGCAGCACCAGCAACAGCAGCAACACCACCACTTCCACAGCCTGCCGCACCACCAGCAACAGCAATTGCACCAGATGCAGCAGCAGCAGCAGCAACAGCAGTATCAGACGTACCAGGAGCGCCAGTACGGTGCTGTACCGATCCCGCACAGCTATGCCGCTGTCCACGGCGAGGGCTCCGTCGCTCCCTCGCAGTACAATCTGAGCCGCCAGCCGCAGCCGCAGCTGCAACAGACGCAGCAGCCGCAACTCCAACAGCCATATGGCCAGTTCCCGCCCCAGCAAAACCAGCAGTTCCAGCAGCAGCAGTTCCAGCAGAACCCACAGTTCCAGCAGCAACAGACCCAGCAGCCACAGCAGGCGTGGAACTCGGCCGGTCCGCAGCCTCAAGGGCAAGGCCAACCCCAGTTCCAAGTTCAGCAACAGCCTGGTCAGCAGGCCGTCCAAGGCAACGCGGTCCAGGCCAACGCGGTCCAGGCCAACGCGGTCCAGGGCGGCCCGCAGCAGTCGCCGCAGCAGTCGCCGCAGCAGACCCAGCCTGGCCAGGCTGCTTCCCGGAGCACGACCGGCCCTGGGCCTGCGCCTCCAGCCACCGCCACTGTCGGTCAAGCTGCGACAGCGCCCGCACACCCTCTGCAGCAGCACCCCGTCGCGTTCATGGTCCCGCCCCCGCCGCCTGCCACGTCGAGCTTCTCTGCGGATGAGGAGGTTGTCGCCGATGCCGTGCCCGCGCCCCTGCAGCCCTCGCCGCCGCCGGCCTCCAAAACGGGCGACGTGGCCGGCCGTAGCATCCCTGTCACTGCCGCCGCCACCACCGCCGCCGCTGCAAGCGTCGCTGCCGCCGCTCTCCCTGTCAAGGCAGAAACGCCCGTCTCGTCGCTCCACCCGTCGCCGCAGCCCGACCCGTCCCAGCTGAGCGAGGGTGCCTCGGCGTCCGTCAGCCAGGCCCTTCCCAGTCAGGAGACCAGCCAGGAGGCCAGCCAGGAGGCCAGCCAGAAGACCAGCCAGGCGCCCAGCGAGACCGCCCCGACGCCCTCGGCGACCACGCCGGCGGCCACGAACGCCGTCGTTGCGCCCGCGCCCCTGTTCGTGCAGGGCCCCGTTGTGCACAGTTCTGAGCAGCCCAGAAGCCCCGTCCAGACAAAGGTCGAGCCGCCTGCAGTTCAGCCGCAGAGCCAAGTCTTTGTCCAACTGGCAGAGCCGGTCTATGCTGCGCCGGTTCTGGCCCAGCCCTCGGCCCAGCCCCCGGCCCAGACTGAGATCCAACCCGCTGCCAACGAGACGCCCCTCACCAACGGTGCCCTCGCCGCCGCCAAGGCCGCCCAGCTGTCGCCCATTGCCACGGCCGCAGCAAACAAGCACGTGCCGGTCGAGGACGAGGACATTTACAACGCCACGCCGCTGCACCCCAGCGCCCACACGCACGCCAACAAGACCAACAAGGTGTCGGAAGACCAGACCATCCTCGACGACCCGCCGGCCTCGCCTGTTGGCCGTGCGGCGGAGCGTGCGGCGGCGCCCGTTGCGGCGCCTGTTGCGGCTCCCTTCGTTGTTGAGTCGGCAGCCCCCTCGGATGCTGTGCCTGCTGTTCCGGCGGCCAAGACGGCAGAGCCTACGATTGCTGCTGCTCCTGCTGCTTCTGCTACGATTGCCACCACTTCGCCCGCTCCCACCTCACCTGCCGTTGTTATCCCGGCCACAGCCTCTCGCGCGGCCGCCGACATCACCTCCCCCGTTGGCCCTGCCGCGTCCGGCGAGCCCGACGTCAACAACATTACACCGCCCTCGCCCGTTGACGACATGGACTTTACCGAGTACGGCTTCCCGTCGGCCAAGCCGTCTGCCACCGGCGGTTTCGGCCGGTCGACCGGCGCCAACGGGTCGGCCGGCGGTGCATCGGACGGCAACGGCGGCGGCTCTGGCGAAGAAGGCGACGCCGTGTCGCGCCAAAAGACGATCCGCCAGACCTCGGCCCAGCAGTTTGAAGACTACAAGCGCCGCCAGATGCTCAAGGACCTGGAGGAGAAGATCCCCGTCTTTGTGCCCGAGCCCGACGAGGAGCTGGAAGCCCAAAAGCAAAAAGAGCAAGAAGAGCCCGCCATGTCCGCCACGAGCTACCCGGGCCAGGAGTGGAACCCGTACGAGGAGTTTGCCTACGTGGACGATGAGTAGGGACGATTTGCTCTGAAAGAAGAGAGGAGAAGGGGAAGGGAGGAGAGAAAACGTAGATTGATTTTTGATATCCTTTAGTTTTCTTTTGATTTCCGTTTGGTTTCATTTGTTTCGTATCTTTCTGTCCGCTTCTCGTTTGGATATTCTTTGCGTCTAAGATTACGTGCCATATAGTTTGCAGCTATTTCTTTTGTTTTCTTTTGTTTCTTTTCTTCGTTTTATATCTATCAGCGTCGAGGAAACGTTGATTCCTTAATCTATGATTTATTTCAACAGCGTCCGTTGCGCAAACATAAACTGAAGATTAAGACTACAGACGGAAGACTGCCACCATCGCTGCACTTCTTAGCCTCTCGTAGCCAGTATTGAATAATACGGGTTGGACCGTACCGAACGAGTTCTATCGAGTTAAATTAAGTAGTGGTACATGGATCGACACACCAACAACACTAGATGATATGTATAGGTACACTCACGTCAGCACTAGTGCACTTTATGCCTCAGGCACCAAATTGTGCCCGGACTGGGCGAAACAGGCTGCGGTGTCTCTTGAAACCACTGGCGCCTGCTCGTAATGCGGTCCGCTCTTATTGGGCAGGTGCTACCGGCACAGCCATCCTCGCCTGCTAAAATTGGGAAACAATGAAAGGGGCAAATGCCAAAACACGCCAAAACGGATGCAACAGCGAGCAAACAGCGGCAAAAAGCAGCAAAAAGCAAGTAAAACCAGGCTCTCTCAGCGCCCCTTCGTCCCCCCCAACATCCTTCCTGTTTTGGGTCTTTTCTGGCTTTCTGTCGCACATGCCAACATTTCATCATTTCGGCACTTTGACACTTCCTTCTCGACAAACTCTCGCATTTGCTCATCTTCAGTCGCTCTTTCCCGTGTGACGTCTGTTTTGGCGATATTCTCTCTTGGCCTTTTGACTTCTTGCCCTCATTCGCTCCTTCTGTTCTTCTCCCGGCCAACGCCCCAACAAGGCTGCAGAGGACACGCTGACGAAACCGACGTGGCCGTAGATTGAATTGGCCTTCCCCTTTTCCGACTGCACGCAACACGACACACCGTCAACAACCACAAACGACACAACACGACGGCGACCACCCTCAGACCCCCGGGCGACAACGCACTGCAACGGGCGACACCAGACGCAACCGGCGCCGACGCGTGACGAAGCCCCCATCTCCGCGCGTGAGTCCATCCGAAACGACAAACAAGACCCATCGATTCGGTGTCGCAACCTCTGTCGACTCGCTCTACACACTCGCTCACTGCGCCCTCCTCCCTCCCACCATACTTCACAATGGCCGTCTCGCGGATCCAGGACCGCACGGTCGAGTTCCAGGCGGTCGTCCAGCAGGCCGCGCGGCGGCAGGCACAGGCCAAGGGCGGCGCCGGCGCCACAGCCCAGACGAAGCGCTCCATGATGTTGCTGGGCAAGTCCAGCAACGACGCACAACGGCACGAGCAGGCGCAACCGCTGCTGTCGGCCGACGGCTATCCAGACGCGGCAACAGCGCCAGGGACGCGGCCAGTGTCGTCTCGGTCCGAGTTTGCGCGGCGCGCGGCCGAGATTGGCCGGGGCATCTCGTCGACGATGGCGAAGCTGGAGCGGTTAGCATTGTGTAGGTTGCCCTGAAGAACCCCAGTGAATGGGACAAACGCAAGGTTACATGACACGTGTACTAACAACATAGTGGCGAAACGGAAGAGCATGTTTGACGACAAGTCGACCGAGGTCAACGAGCTGACCTTTGTCGTGAAGCAGAATCTGGGTAGGTTCCTACGATGGCCGGTGAACGATACCCTAGGAATGACCGCAAGTACATATACTGACTGCTCGTAGCCGGCCTCAACCAGCAAATCTCCAGCCTGCAGGCGCTCACGCGGCAGCAGCAGGGCAAGACGGAGGAGGGCGAGCACCGCAAGAACGTCGTCTTCTTGCTGCAGGACCGCCTGACGGGCGTGTCCGCCAACTTCAAAGAGGTCCTCGAGGTCCGCACCAAGAACCTGCAGTCTACTCGCGCCCGCACCGACAACTTCATCTCCCACGTCGCCCAGACCGTCCAGCAGCAGCAGCAGCAGCAGCAACAAAATCAGCATCAACCACCCGGCGCCCTCCTCCACCAGCAGTCCGCATCGCCTCTGTACGCCGCCTCGACATCGGGCAGCGCCGCCGCGACGGGTGGCCGCAACACCCCGACGTTCCGCAATGCCGCGTCCGGCTCCGCACCACCGGATCTGCTCAGCGGCGGCAATGGTGGTGGCAGCGGCAGCGGCGGCGGCCTCTTGTCGCTCAACCCCGCCGTCAGCGACCAGCAGCTCATGCTCATGGAGGAGGCGCAGCCCAGCAACATGTACATCCAGCAGCGCGGCGAGGCCATTGAGGCCATTGAGTCGACCATCTCGGAGCTCGGCTCCATCTTCAGCCAGCTGGCGTCCATGGTCTCGGAGCAGTCCGAGATGATAGAGCGCATCGACGCCAACACCGAGTCTGTGGTCGAGAACGTCCAGGGCGCCCAGAAGGAGCTGCTCAAGTACTGGGGCCGCGTGTCGGGCAACCGCTGGCTGATTGCCAAAATGTTTGGCGTCCTGATGATCTTCTTTTTGCTCTGGGTGTTGATTGCCGGCTAGACGAGAGCAGGACGCGGGGCCGACAGTGGACAACCGACGACCAACAACGACATGTCAACAACGACAAAGCAGGAACGGCAGTGGTAATTTTGGAGTCTGGAGAAGAAGGGGGCTCTTTTTTTGTAGTATTAGGCCGGGCGGCGTAGCTTGCCAGGATTTACTTTCTTGTGTTTTTTTATTCACCCATTTCCTTTGTCTTTTTTCACCCTTTTCTTTTGTCTTTTTGTCACTTCTATTCCCCGTTTTTTGTTTTCCTTTCATTTCCTTTGTGTAACCAGCATCGACCGGAGTACAGGGCTACAAACAACCATCTACCCCACGCTGAATCCAATATAATAGACAGTCACATGTTGAAGCTTCACGCAGGAGATGTCTCCTTAAAGTGATAAGCCCTCAAATCCCCATTACCAAAGCACACCCGAGTGCCGTGCGTATGATCTCACTTCCCCGTCTCACACGCTTTGTGTTCATCGGGCGTTTCCCGTAGCGTCGCTAGCCCCGGAAGTCGGTACCACTTCCGTTTTTGTTGTGTCGTGGTGCCGCTGTGCCCATCATCGCCAGATCCTACCATCACGGACTAGTGCAGATGGCGTCGTTTGCGTCTGTGCGAGCTCCGCGAGCCGATAAAGACAGCCAACTTGCTAGTATGGATGTCGCACAAGTGTATGTTTACTGAATTCATGCGTATATAGAGCCACAATCTTGTAAGCTCACAGCCACTTCATCTGACTTATACCCTGCTCGAAATCGACAAAGTTCGAGACGCATCTTTTCGCTGCCTCACCATCGTCTGGTAGTGCGAGTTTGGGTTGGAGAGAGTGCCCCAAGATGTTCCCTAACCACAACGTCTCGTCCATTGTCCAGTCCCTCTTCTCGGCCACTCTGGCGCAGCTTCCCCCGACTCCCGATTTGGAGGGCGAGGAAGAACTAGCGGCAGCTTGGCCTGGACGAACTACGTATCGGACGCCGAACGTTGCCCGCAGAGGCGCACCATCCGCTAAAATCTGTCCCTGGCTGTCGTGACCTACCGGCCGATAGCGTCCTGTCTGGCAGTCCCTAGCCCATTCTACAAGCGTATCTTGACCCCTTTGGGCGTCATCGGGGGGTATTTACCCGCAGGAGTGGGTGCAATTGGGGGCCCCTCCGTCGCGTGGCCCGTCCATCGTAGCTTCCTGTACCTTTGGTCTCGCCGTTTTTTTGCGGTTGAGCTCCTGCCGTTTTCTTGGCTGTTTTCGGCCTTTTCATTTTCTATTTTATTTTACTATTTATTTTCGCCTATTTTACTACTCCCTTGGTTCCTTCCTCCAGCTCGCCTTTTTCCTTCCTGCCTCATTCTGGTCCATTCTGGTCTTCCTTCCCCATAAACGTTCTCTTGCATGTGTCGGTTTACTGCTTCACGCTCCATCTCACGATCCTTGTTTTCGGTCCATACACGCATCGCTGGCCCTTTTCTCACCAGTTCGGCTCGTCTCCCCTTCTCCCACCAACGGTACACCACCGACACCATGACCGACCGCTCGTTCAAGCTCAACACCGGGGCCGAGATACCCGCGCTGGGTCTGGGTAGGTCAATGCTTGACCCTTCTTTCTACGCCTTGCGGCATTGTCAGTCTTTCCCTCTCTGACTCCTTTCAGGTACCTGGCAATCGAAACCCGGCGAGGTCGCCTCGGCCGTCGAGTACGCCCTCACCCACGGCTACCGCCTCGTCGACGGGGCCTACTGCTACGGCAACGAGGACGAGGTCGGCCAGGGCCTCCGGGCGGCGTTTGCCAAGGGCGTCAAGCGCGAGGACGTCTTTGTCGTGTCCAAGGTCTGGGCCACCTACACGTCGCGCGTCGAGCTGGGCCTGGACAAGACGCTCAAGAGCCTGGGCCTCGACTACGTCGACCTGTACCTCGTGCACTGGCCGCTTCTCATGAACCCTGAGGGCTCCGACGACCGGTTCCCCAAGCTGCCCAACGGCGAGCGCGACATCATCCGCGACTACAGCCACATCCAGATCTGGAAGAACATGGAGACGCTCGTCGCCACCGGCAAGACCAAGGCCATTGGTGTATCCAACGTACGCTCGTCTCTCCACTGTTTCTGCTTCTTCTTCTCTTCTTCTGTTTCTTTTTCTTCGTTCCCTCGCTAACGCTCGGGCAGTACAGCAAAAAGTACCTCGAGGAACTGCTCCCCGTCGCCACGGTCGTCCCCGCCGTCAACCAGATCGAGAACCACCCGGCCCTCCCCCAGCAGGAGATTGTCGACCTCTGCCGCGCGCGCGGCATCCACGTCATGGCCTACAGCCCCTTTGGCAGCACGGGCGGCCCGCTGTTCACGGCCGCGCCCGTTGTCGCCATCGCCGCCAAGCATAGCGTCCCGCCCGCCACCGTGCTGCTGAGCTACCACCTGGCGCGCGGCAGCACCGTGCTGGCCAAGTCGGTCAGCGACGCGCGCATCGAGGCCAACAAGACGGTCGTCGACCTGGACGCCGAGGACGTGGCGGCGCTCGACGCGTACTCGGCCCAGCTGACCAAGGACGGCCAGCTGCAGCGGTTTGTGTACCCGCCGTTTGGCATTCCCTTTGGCTTCCCGGACAAGCCGTAGACAGGCGCGTACCGGCAAAGGACATGGAATCTACCGCAAAAATGGACTTTTAAAAATACACACCAAAAAAAAAGTACACAAGTACACAAGTACACAAGTACGCAATGGCACGGCAATTCAAAGTAGTCTCGGCGGCCAATGCGCCGAGGTTTGACTATTCCGTTGCACGGTTCACTCTGTTGGCTGTGCCGAGCCGTTAGCAGGACAGCTAACACAAGACGTGGAGCCAAAACCCCTGTCGGCAATTTTTCCATCCAATGGAGGCGCCTAGAAAATGCAGAGCGCGGGCCATCGGGCAGTCGATGGCCGGCCGTCGGCCGTGGTCCGCGTTTGCACCGTGCCTTCTACCAAATGTGGATAATGTTGTATCTTGTGTATCTTGTGTCGTGTAGCTATCGTAGGTCTATTGTGGAAATATCGTAAATTCTCCTTTCTCGGGTATCATTCATTGCGTCGTCTCCATCTTCGATAGACTCGTATCTCGTCCAAACATTTCGCCAACCCAACCTGTCCAGTCCTCCCTCCCTTCGCCCACGTCATCACACGCCGGCCACCAGCTGGTCCAGTGCCTTTTCGTACCGCCCGGGACTGTGGTCCGTAAACGCGGCCAGCGAGAACTGGATCTCCCGGAACCGCGCCTCGACGTCGCGCACGTGCTTGAACACGACCCGCTGCGCCGGCAAGACCATGAGCATCGCGCCGGTGCCTCCGCCTGGGCCTGTGCCCGTACCGTACGACGTCCGCTGCAGCACGCGCTGCATCTCGACCACGAGCACCTCGCCCGGCGGCAGTAATTTGGGGCTCATCATGCTCACGCGCAGCGTCTTGAGCGCCGCGTAGGCCCAGGCATCTTCCATGCCGACGCCAGGCCCGCTGCCGGGCTCGGCTGTGGGCGTGGACGCGCCGGTGGAGTCTGCTGCTTTGGCGTTGTCGGCCTGCGCTGCCGCTGCCGCTGCCGCGGCCGCCGCGGCTGTCTTGCCAAAGACCTTTTCCGTCATCATGGTGCGCATCTTGTGCCACATGCGGCTCCACAGCTCCGCCGATGCGTGACTCTTGTCCGTCTTGAACGCCAGGGCGACGGCCTGCAGGTCGTGCAGCACACCGAGCGATAGGTAGGGCACCAGGTCGTTGCCCTGCACGACGCTCGTAATCAGGCCGCGCGTCATCTTGCTGAGGGCCGGCGTCATGGTGCCCGGGGGCCCAAAGGCAAAGACGTGCACGGGCCGGCCCGGCGGCAGACTGGGGACCTCACGGCTGGCGCTGGCGCTGGCGCTCGCGGAACCACTGGTGCCAGGACCAGCAGCAGCACTCGCAAGGAGACGAAGCGGCGCCGATTTGGTCTGGAAGCAGTAGTGGCCCAAGGCCGCCGCGGATGCGGTTTCGGAGGCTGATGCGGATGCGCTTCCATTCGCACCAGATGCGTTGCCCGCGCTGCCGCCGTGGACGGGCCGCGGCTCGGAGAGCATCACGCCGAGCAAGGCCGTGACGGCACCGCCCAGCGAGTGGCCGCAGAGGACCAGGCCGTAGTCGGGGTGCGTGAGCAGGGCGTCGCGCAGCGTGGCCAAGACGCGGCCGTCGCCCCCGTACAGAATGCGGCGGGCCGAGGCATGCACGCCCTTGTGCACCTGGTACGTGCGGCCCCGCCAATAGAGGTCGTCGTACTCGCAGGCCATGTCGGCCAGAATGTCCTCGAAGCCGAGCGTGCCGCGGCAGGCCAGAACGACCGCCTTGGACGCGTGGTCCAGCGCAATGTAGTGCACGAGCGGCATGCGCGTCAGGCCAGCCGCGTCGGGCCCGCCCTTGACGTCGATGAAGGAGGCCAGGAGAATGTCCGCGGGGGCCACGCCCGTGTGCCGCGCGTACGAGACGAGTTCGTGGTGCACGTTCTGGGCGTCGCGCTGTTTGCGGCCGTCCGGGTCGTTGCCGTCGTAGGGCCCAAACGTGGCGGACGTGATGCTCATCGCGCGCAGAAAGTCCCGTCCGTACGCGGCGGACGAGAAGCGCATGTACCGCTGCAGGTTGCGCGCCAGCGGGGCTTGGGGAAACATGCCGGGAACCCGTCCGGTGCGCCGCACTTCGTTCAGCATGTCAAAGGGACGCATCGGGTGGCCCTTCTTGCCAGCAGGACCCCCCGGACCGTGACCATACCCGTCGCTTCCCAAGCCACCAGGTGGACCGCCGGCGCCGCCGCCGGCGCCGCCGCCGCCCGAATCCATGTAACTCCTCCGACCGGGGCCGTACGCCGACAGGATCAGCGACGCTTGAGAGTCGTTTGTGTGCAGCGTGTAGATGCTGCCGCGGTGCGCCCGTGATCGATGGCTCTTGGGGCTGGTTGCGGTGCCAGGACGTGCTGTGTCATGCTGCGTCGTGTGGATGGAGATGTTGTCGGCGAGCGACGAGGCCAAGGAGG